AGTACGACTCGCCTTTCTTGTCTATAATCTGCAACGGCCATCAGCTGTGAGGTTGTGGTCAGCCGAACAGTCACCCCTTTTCTATTTTTGATTGACCCGAAACAAACCCGTAGGGACTGTAAGGCAACTGCTCTCTCCGCCTCTGTTAGGGGTGCGTTCAAAGTATGCCGGCTCGTCCATAAAGGGAGGGCCTCCTTGCGAATTTATCTTTCGCACGAAATCTCTTCGTTTTGTCAATTCTTCCTCTCAAAAGCGGCTGATGCGGACGTGCCACAAACCCTGGGACCGTCGCCTGCTCCGACTTTCCTCAATCAAGGTAGAGTGGTGCTGATAGCAGACGTCGTTAAAACCCGTACCAACTTACGAGCGGAAAGCACGCTTGAGGTCATTGAGGGTTACGTAAAGTGCTATTTTTACTTGCTTACTTGCATCTACATGCGCGCAATTCTCGGGTCATGTGACAATTGATCTGTGCCATTGGACCAACACACGAGTTGCAACGAGAATGAGAGCCACGACTTCCGCATTGTTGCCATGGGGGGGGGAAGACTTTTTGCACCAGGCTTTCTACAACGAGGACGGTGAAGCAGGTGGGGAAGGGTCGCTGCTCCGCATCACGCAGCCCCAGCTTAGGGCGGTGGATCCTAAGGAATTCAAGTAAGTCGCAGACCAGCCGATCATTCGTGCTCTCTAAACTCAATTGTAGATATGAGCTACACTGCTTGTGGAAAACGTTTCGTCCGTGTTGAAGGCAACAATCAAAAAACGTTTTTTATTGAGCTTTTCGTCTTAAAATCTGAAAATTGCGATTTTCCTTTAGCTAGTAATTTGCAAACATCAAAATTCAAATCGTGTCCAGGTGTCACATTTAAATTTGAGTATTAACAATATGAGACGTCGTAGCTGAGCATTTGCCGGAAAGGGTCGTTTTGCCCGGTTGACACTGGGGGAATGTTGTGTTCTGTCCCTTCCATCAGCCATCGTGACCTTCGTTGTAAGCTTTTCGAACTTCACCCATTGTACCTGTCCTCAGAATCGTCATATCCAACAATAAATCGTGGGAATGTAACTTGAACCAGCCTTATCCTTCTTGATTGAGGGCACATGAAGACCCCTGCTCTCTATAATACCGCAACGTTGATGCGAGCCGCACTGGATGCACCATCAGCGTGATTTCCCTGGCATTTTCGAGGAGCCCTTGCTTCCTGACCTTCAGCGATTATCAAGACGCCACAGCATTTGATGGCAGGTAACACCTCAGGCACTTACGTTGTATAGACAACTCCAAATACCTGCATTTTTCCAGGTGGGACATGCATTGTAGCCCGTGCGATGTGTGCGTAGAGGACGAGCCTTTTCAAGCACGCCCTTTGAAAGCGTTTGAACAGGTGTAAATGGATGTTTTTGCGATATGTTTGTGTGTTCCCGTATGTTGGAATCTAGTCAAACAAATTCCGATTAAGTTGTCTTCCTACCAAAAAGACTCCACTTGATTTCTCACGACAATTCTCGGTCGGGCGTTGGTATCGTGAAATTGTGATTGGAGCTTCTCGACCGACTCACCCTTGGTGGTTACGGGCGACTTTGCGATCGAATCGCCTTGCAAGCAGCCAGCGCGCGCGCGCATTCTAAATTGAAACGTTGGTTTTACATCTCCGTGAGGCAACTTAGCCTTGAGAAGTGAAAGTACTTCCGATTGTCCGCACGGCATGGCTGTTGATCTTCGCCACGACTCTGGCTAAAGTGGATTTTTTCCTTCTTGCAGATGGTGCATCTGGCCGGGAGCTTCAGGTCCCTTGGGAACCCCGTCATTTACAACAACCCCAACACACACGAAAGCGTTTGGTACGCCGACCTCATCCTTGACTCGCCCGATTGCGCAGAGTTCACCATCCGCCTCAAGCAAGCCGCGCTCGACAAGTTTGGCGCTCTTGGCAACGTGACGGCTGGCTCTCCCCTCTCTGTGACTCACCTCCGTTTCAAAAATACTACAACAACGTCAGCAGCACCAACAGATTGGGTTATCGTACCAGTATTAGAGTTTTTGCTCGAATATCCGTCGAATCTGCCCAGCTCGAAATAGGTCAGCGTGGTGCGACCGCCTTCAATCAGTCCATTGCGTGTTGGCCGACAGCGACGAACTGAATGCAACCGGACTGATGTGATGTTCATGCACTTTCGACGCTCGTTGATAAGATTTGCAACAAAAAGCTAGCCTTCAGGTGTTGCCGTAATTTCCTTGCTAGGTTGATTAGGGTACGTACGGAAAGCTTATTTACATTGCGTCTCGTTGCTTTTTTTACTTGGTCGAATAGTGCAAAACTGGAAGAACTCCTATCTTTACCGAACTCAGCCGTCGACCTTCCGCTTCTAACACTCAAAAGCCTTCTTCGCAGTACCACCGTATTCTCTGCATGGACAATCACGTCCTCGAGCACTGGCCCGGTTGAAAATTTCGACCGGGCGCTTTGTTTGGATTGTATTGAAAAGGGTCAGGTCCCCCATTCGTATGACCAGCTTCTCCAATCGATGCCGCTTCTTGGATCCAAAAGTTTGCTGAACAATCTGCTCGTCCCACGTTTGTAATAGTGGTCCTCAACATTCAGCCCGATGATGGACAACGCTTTCCTTGATTGAGCTGGGTGCGCTACGGGATTTTCTTGCGCTATGGGATCTTCTCCATCCCATAGAATCCTTGGACCTTATAAGAAACTTAATCTTCGAACTCCACGTTCTACAATTTTCCACATCCAACTTATTAATGTGGATCGTGTATCCGTCGGCCATTTTAGGGATTGCGTTCCTTTTCTCTCCTTCTCTAGACCAAGGATGGAAAATCTCCTTTTTTGCTTTCCCTGCCATTTTATCCCCCTTACGGGCTTTCAAATGTCGCTCTGCTCAAAGAGCATCCACGATAAAGTAGACAGCCCCCACCGATGCCTTCATTGAACAGGAGAGAACCATTGGCCGACTTTGGTCATATCGATTATCGCCCTGTTGGAGGCCTACTATTGAATGCTTGCGCCCTCACTCCCTAGGCGCCGTAGTGCGCCGTAGTGCGCCGTGGGCCCATAACCTGCTGAAACACGGCGTTGTTGGGAATGAATGATTGAATGATCAAGTTCACACAACACATATTGAGTGTTTGGGATCTAGCGGCGCTAAAACTATGTAGTCCGTGTGCTATGCTAGACACACTCAGGTAGAGTCACACTCATAGTCTAGGTCTATATTGATAGCCTAGTAGGTTCAGTTGAAGGCGGATACGCAAATCCGAAAGTTTCGCGCAAATATGAGTAATGGCTATTATCGAACCTACCATCACGGCGGTTACCTCAATAAAGCATACGCTATAACCTGCGCGCATTTAATCGCCAACCGCTCACTACCGGTTCTCGTCGACTCCCGTTGACAAAACTCACCCAGGAGATCGCGCATACTAAATGCCCGAATCTCAACAGGCTACACAACGACGAGATCAATGGAGTGACTGACAAAGCCTTAAGCATCATGTTGGTTTCCTTGTACGGAATAACATCGAAGCACACAGAATCGGGCGTGGTCGTCGCAATGGCCTGGCTCACCAATTCGAGCAGCCCCTTGCCTTGGGTTTGACAATACCCATCCCTGATGTGCGCGTTCCGAAACTCGTTTCAAAGTGGGTTAGATGCTACTAGTCCATCTTATACAAAAGCGTGAGACAAGTTTCTTGTTTTATTTGACCTTTTTAGTTTCAGCTTGAGAAACCTTGGGGAACTCGATAGGAAGTGAACAACGGAGACTTGATGCTCTCTTCTACTAGACCTGACGAGCTATGAATGCTATTGACCATTGTAGCTTTGCTGTAGAATCCGCGTTGATCGATGCTGCCCTGTTTTTGATTGTGGAAAGAACCTCCTTATCCAACTCCGGAGAAACCATTTACCATGTGTCAACAGGGTAGAGACCGCTAGCGAATAGATTCGGGCTCAAATCTTTGATAACGCATAGGGAAATGAACTGCTGCGCATCTGCGTCGGTGTCGCGCATGTTAGAAAGACTATAGCTCTATGCCTAAAAAAATTGGTCACGCGGATAAAAAGATGCAGATACCTACTGCGGCTCAACGTTCTCTTTTTCCAATCGTGCAACGTGCTGCAACAAGAGGGTTTCAATCATGAGAGAAGCCTTTATATAGTACTTGTCCAGATAAGTAGCCCGTCACATTCAAACGGAATGTGTTGAAACTCGTGGTAGGGAGTCGTAGTGTAGTTGAGTTACTCGTCATCGGGTCTTATCGTGTTGCTCGGCACCCATGCTCATCACTCATTGATGGCAGCCA